GTGTAGAAACACGAATAGGTACAGTCATGCTATCACATATCATATCAAATTCAGTAGAAAAATACGTACACACATAAGAGAATGTAGAACCTGGATCAAACAACATAGACGCAGGTCGATGGCATACTAGGATGATACCTGTAGTAACATTTCAGAGGTCTACGCCTCAGGTATCCTTGGGAAAGCATAGCAATGACCTCCTTGTCCACCACCAGCTTGGGTGGTTCCTCTACCCCCACTCTGTTGAGCTGCAACACCACTACTAGAAACTCTATCACCTCTACCTGATTGAACTTTGCCACAACCTCTACCCTGTGGTGCTAGTGGTCTAGTCTGGAATGAAAAATTAGATCGAGGCCGAACACGACCCCTTTGAGAAGTACACTGCCGCATTAGGAGATCGGGATCTCCACAAGTAAAATAAAATTTCTGACCTAGAAACTTTTGTGTGGACCCTGAAAACCCACTATAATTGTCTCGCCCTTTAGGTCGCTGCTGTGAACCGTACGAGCCTTTACCCGGGCTATAAGAACCCCTATAAATTTTTCCACCCTCAAATGTCGGCATAGATGGATGAATAGGTCCCCGCTGCTGAAAAGAACCACTCACTCTCTGTCATCCCCTACCTCCAGATGAGGCACCATGAAATTGACCTGATATACAGGCCCTTTTAGGGTCCCCAAACTCCTCTCTTTCCATAAATTACGACTCTTTGGTGGCGTTCACAATGGACGGGAAAGAAGCCTCCTCCCTAGATGCCCGAAACACAGTTGACCTAATAGAGAAAGTCAATCTCCTCACAAATATGAGAATCCTCTCTGTCTCATTTGGAATAATGGAGAATGCATGCCTAGACAACTAGCAAAAATGTGCCTCATACTCTGTAACCGATAAACCATCCTGTCTCAGACTCTCAAACCTCAAGCAACTCTCCTCTCTCACGCTCCAAGGCATAAAACTATCCTGGAATGCAATAGTAAACTTTTCCCAAGTCACTTGAGGAGATCCAACAGGAAAAACCCTTGAATAAGTTCTCCACCTGTCTCTCGCTGGTCCACGAAGCTAGAGTGCAACATATCGAACCCCATGTGACTCAGTTAATCCAACCACCTCTAGTAAGTCTCAGCAGGTAGTTAGAAACTCATGAGAATCCTCGCTCTTCCCACCCTGAAACTGAGATGGGTCCATCATGCGAAATCTCTCATACCTACGCTGCTCATCCTCTGCCAGAAAAACCACCGGTGCAACTTGACCCCAAATGCTGGTGAAACATCATTCTGAACCGTGGGATTTATTGGTAGTTGCCCCACCGCATCTTGAACAACTCGAGCTTGTTGTTGCTCTTACTTCTGAGCCCCCTCTCTAGTACGAGATTCATGCGGTGTGGCGGTCCCACCACCACACTGAGAAAACACTTAACACCCTCAATAGTGTATCTTGAAGCAAAGGTGTGACTACAGGCTCTCAAGGAACCTGGTCCTCTCTACCATCAATCTGAGGTTCTGGAGAGACCTCTCTAGCACGACCTCTCTCTGGTGCTGCTCCACGGCCACAACCTCTTTCTACTGCCGTACCACGAGCACGACCATTAGCTCGAGCTCTACCCCTACCTCTAGATGGGGCCTCAACAACTACCTCGGGAAGTGCCTCCCCTCTACCACCAGTAACATTAGTTCTAGTCCTCGTCATCTATCAAAAGAGTATACAACAACTCATTCTAAAGAAGGTAACTATGCACAATGAGAAAGAAAGAACAAAAGGAAGTTTCCTAGTAATCTTTATAGACTCTCAGAGATGAGTACAGACGTCACCGTACTAATCCTTGAGACTCTATGTAGACTCGGCTTGTATACACGTGAGACCTTTGAACCTGGGGCTCTAATACCATTTTATTACGACCTAAAAAAGGGCGTCATGGCATTTGTCTTATCCCACTAAGATAAGTCAGCCTAACCCAATAATTTTGATAAAATGCACAAACAAAACCAAAGCCTGATAACGATTATTAATATGGAAACAATTAAACTTAATTCAACTCCCAAAACTTGGTAGTCACATGCACAAGCCTCTAATGTAAATACTAGAATTGAAATGAAAATACTAGTCTAACATGAAATTGTCTTTCAAGTAAAAACAAAGTCATAAACTGGAGTAGGGAAGTTCGCTGATATGACAAGCAACTACCTCACAATCCTCTACAAGATGCCTCGGAAATGAACACAATGAAAGTTATCACAACAATCAGAGCTCGTAACCTACAAAAATTTATAGAAGAAAGGGGTGAGTACCAAGCCACGCGGTACCCAACAAACAAACATCTAAACACAAGTTAAAGGAACAAAATACGGGTACTCCTTACACCCTATCTAAACCTCCATACTACCAACAACTCAGAGTTTACCAAACACACAACTCAATAACCACACTCTATTAGTTTACATATACTCAATAACGACTCAATATTCAACAGTCACAATTTTCACAGAGAAACACTAACTGGATCAGCAAAAACACGTATTCAAGTTCATTAATAATAAAAATGTGTAATGCAATGAGATGCAATATCAAGTATGGTGATGCATGTCTTCCCTAACAATACATACCCACTGTCTCTCAATCTAATACCTCTGGGGGACATATTTGTCCATGCATCTGTCGTGGCGCACGACACGACCCTCGATAATAAAAACTATCGCGGCGCGCGATACGTCTCTCGAAATATAATATCCATCGCGGTGTGCGATACGATCCTCGAAATGGTACATTCTCTCACCACAACCATGTCTTAGATACAGTGCTAATGACATGCTCAAATGAAAATGAGGAGATAACCATTTTGATAACAAAGCACAATTTACAACAAGGAATACAACACCAACAAATAAGAAACAAGTCTCGAAGTCATTCTCAACACCACACAAGGATTTACACGAACTTCATAAGCTTAACAAGGGTTTAGAAATCTACTTGACTCAAATGAACGAACAATCACTCTCGGACTTGAGTTTTCCCCTTTCGTTGAGCTTCCAAACAATTGCAATTTATTCAAGTATATAGTGAGAATTAGATTCCGACACTAACAACACTTATGTTATACAGGTTTAGCGTAGACCGAAAAGCTTATCCAAATTTATAATTAAGTTAACATATAAATTCTCATATTTCTAAATTTCAAGTCTAAGGTTAATTTCAAACTCTCCAATATAAATCTAATAATATTCACATAATGTAATGCCCTTAATAGTTAAATACATATTTTTATAGGTCAAAACTTGAATTATAATATGACCATTATAAGAAAATAAGTTTATTACGAACCGTATGAAAAATAATAATTTAAGGAACCTATAGAGTCACATACTACATCGTAATTCCCTTGTACAACTATATTATATTTTAATATAATATTATAATGGCTTCCATATTAATTGACGACCAGTTGCTAATGAATGACTAGGAATTCTCCCCCCCACCCTACCCCACAAATTGAAAATTAACAATTTCCAAATTTAACCATTTAAATCCATACTCTTTTCTTTCTTCCTATTCCCCTCAATTAATAATATATATATCGGATACTACACAATTCCATCTATATTAAAATCATGGGTGGGGGCGAGTTGTACCTGGATGAAGAAGAAATTGAACGTCGCCTGATCGTTATCGCAAGGTCAACAGAGAGACGGGATTTTCCCATTCCTGTGGCCCCCATTATGAAGATAACTTTCTTCTTGAACTCTTCATTATTGATGAAAGTATTCATTTTATCTACACACAAAAAAATAGTTTATAATAGTGAATTCATAAAGTTAGACATTAAAAAATCTTGTAAATATAAAGCTAGTAAGTACAAACCTTGCTTGACTTGGAATATACTATCTAAAAGTATAAAACTTTCTATATGGTGGATGCAAAAAAATATACATTCAGCTTTTATAGTAAAATCGTTTTGTGGAGTTATTAACTGACATACAAATTTCATAATTACTTATATATTTTCGGATAATAATGACTTTTAAAAGTTTATAGATATGTCAACTTGAATTTTGGTAATTTTTATTAAATATATTTTACGATAAAGTTATGAGTATACTTTGCTAGGAGACCTTATAGAGCTGAAATTTTATAGTAAAAATGTTATTTTTTATAGACTTATTAATTATTAAACAAAATTAAATATATATAAATTCATATCTATTAGAATAAGAATAGTTCATTAAAAAATTTAGATATATATCACCTTAAATTTTGGCGATTAAGCTTAAATTATTTTAGGATGACGTTTCTAGATGTATATTGTTACGAGATCACATGTAGTTACATAAGGATTGTACAAAGAACTGAATAATTTTGTTAACGGAATATAGTCAAGTGATAATGCGTTAAATCTTACACTACTCAACAACACATCATATGTGTTAAGTCTAATTCCATAAGAAGGAAGTGAACAAGTATTGATAACTATTTCAATTACGAGTATTTATATGAACTTGTGCACCATATAACACTGTATAAGGACTTTATTGAATCAAGCTTCAATCACCGTGATAGAATTAGATAGAATATATTCATTACCGATAGATTACAAATTTACTATTTTATCTTCTTTGTCTATGTAACATTTTTAAGTATTGAGTTAAGAATTCTATTATTCAAAATCCTTTTAGGGTGGAATCTTCCCGAACATTATTGTGATTTATTATTTTATCACTCTATTAGCTTTACATTATGAGTGATCTCATGTAATTGTGTACGTACGTATGTGTATTAATATATATTAAATTTAAAAGACTTGGACTTTGAGTTGGACTAGGGGCTTGGGCTTGGATCGAATCATAAAATAAATATTTCATCTATAGATAAGAATTTTTTTACAGACAAGTGTAACATATATAGAAATAAGGGTCATATCATATGTATATATTTGTAATGTGATACAAACTGTACAAAATAGGTCAAAAATAAAAGAGACCAAAACAGAAGATGGAGATAATGACAGTTTATGTACACTCAATAATAATATTGCGATGATCATTTTTGAGAAATCTCTTCACAATATCTAGGCATGGTTGCAAAACAATATTCTTCCATGCTTCTTCAAGATCTTCTTCTCTATCTTCTTTGAAAACGTCCAAAGCAATACTATGATGCACTGACCACATTTTCTCGCTTATTGATCGTTTAATCTTGTCAAGTTGGTTACAAATTAACATACGAGTATTACGCTTGATACTTGAAATTGAAGCTTGAAGAATCATCTTCTTTGATTCATCATCTCCGTCTATGTTTGTTTCTTCCCTTAAATATCTGTCCATTTCAGGGACCCCGATGGACAGTCGGATTCCTTTGGTGTAATCTGCATCTGGAATGAAAATCTGTCGTACCTCATCCACTAGCCCTGCATGCAACACAAATTTAAATAAGAGTTTTATTTAGTAGAACATATATTTGATAACCAGAAGTATTATTAATAAAATTATGTAAGAAAAGTTTTTAGCTAGCTGCATGATAGTATATCTTGATTGTTACACAAAATAACTATAAAAATTACCTGCTTTGACCATTTGATCAACCCTCATGTCAACTCTACGTTTCAAAATTTATTGCTCAACATCAATCCAAAAAAGCAGCTATCATACTTATATTTGAACATGAACATAGGATCTTCCACAAAGTCTTCGAAATACGAATTTGACCCTCCAACAATAATTGGAACACGTTGAGTCTTCAGTATTTTTTCTATACAGATGACAGCTTGCAAAAAGAAATCTTCAGCTGTGAAGTCTGAATCTGGTTCAATTTCACCTAAGAAAATGTGATCAAATTAACTTTCTCAGAATTGAGAGAAATAATTTTTTAATAGTAAAGTATATTTTTCACTAGAATCGATAATTACTACTATAAAATTATCTAGGTAGTCATTTGATAGATGTTCTTGAGAATAAAAATATATACCTAACAAATAGTGTCATATACCTTGTTTTTCAGTGTGAGAGATCTTGTTCGTAATAATTTTAAGTCCCTTGTAAACTTGCATTTTATCCGAGTTGATTATTTCTCCTCGAAAATGGGTGGTAAGGTCAACAGAAACACGGGATTTTCCCGTTCCTATGGCCCCCATTATGAAGATAACTTTCTTCTTGAACTCTTCATTGTTGATGAAAGTATTCATTTTATCTACACAAAAAAAAATTAGTTTATAATAGTGAATTCATAAAGTCAGACATTAAAAAATCTTGTAAATATAAACCTAGTAAGTATAAACCTTCCTTGATTTGGAATATACTATCTAAAAATATAAAATTTTCTTGATGGTGGATGTGAAAAAAAATAACATTCAGCTTTTATAGTAAAGTCTTTCTGTGGAGTTATTAATTGACATACTAATTTCATAATTAATGATATATTTTAGGATAAGAATTACTTTTAAAAGTTTATAGATATGTCAACTTGAATTTTCGTAATTATTATTAAATATATTTTAGGATAAAGTTATGAGTTTACGTTGCTAGGAGACCACATATAGCTGGGCTTTTATAGTAAAAATGTGATTTTTATAGACTTATAAATTAGTAAACCAAATTAAATATATATAAATTCATATCTTTTAGAATAAGAAAAATTCATTAAAAAATTTCGAGATATGTCTCCTTAAATTTTGGCGATTAAGCTGAATTTATTTTAGGATGACGTTTCTAGATGTATATTGTTATGAGATCACAAGTAGTTACATAAGGATTTTACAAATAACTCATTAATATATCTAACGGAATATATTCAACTGATAATGTTTTAAATCTTACAATATTGAACAACACATCATAAGTGTTAAGTCTAATTACGTAAGAGGAAAGTGAACAATTATCGATAACTATTTCAATTACGAGTATTTATATTAACTTGTTCACCATATAGTAATAGATAAGACTTTATTGAATCAAGCTTCAATCACTGTGATAGAATTAGGTAGAATATATTCATTACCGATAGATTACAAATTTAACATTTTATCTTCTTTGTCTATGTAACATTTTTATGTATTGAGTTAAGAATTCTATTCTTCAAAATCCTTTTAGGGTGGAACCTTCCAAAACATTTATGGTTATTTATTATTTTATCACTCTATTATTTTGACATTATGAGTGATCTCATGTAATTGTGTACGTATGTATTTGTATTAATATATATTAAATATAGAAGACTTTGACTTGGACTTAGGGCTTAGGCTTTGATCGAAACTTAAAATAAATATTTCATCTAAAGATAAGAATCTTTTTACAGAAAAGTGTAAGATAGATAGAAATAAGGGTCATATCATACATATTTATTTGTAATGCGATACAAACTGTACAAAATAGATCAAAAATAAAAGAGACCAAAACAAAAGATGGTGATAAAGACAGCTTATCTTCTCAATAATAATATTGTGATGATCATTTTTGAGAAATATCTTCACAATACCTAGGCATTGTTGCAAAATAGTATTCGTCCATGCTTCGTCAAGATCTTCTTCTCTATCTTCTTTGAAAACGTCCGCACCAATAATATGATGCACTGACCACATTTTCTCTCTTACTAATAATTGAATCTTGTCAAGTTGGTTACAAATTAACATACGAGTATTACACTTGTAACTTGAAATTGAAGTTTGAAGAATCATCTTCTTTGATTCATCATCTCCGTCTATGTTTGTTTTATCCCTTAAATATCTTTCCATTTTAGGAACACTGATGGACCGTCAGATTCCTTTATTGTAATCTGCATCTCGAATGAAAATTTGTCGCACCTCATCCACTAGCCCTGTATGCAACACAAATTTAAAGAAGGGTTTTATTTAATAGAACATATATTTGATAACCAGAAGTATTATTAAGAAAATTATATAAGAAAAGATTTTAGCTAGCTACATGATAATATATCTTGATTGATACACAAAATAAATACAAAAATTAACTGCTTTGACCATTTGATCAACCCTCATGTCAACTCTACGGTTCAAGAATGATTGCTCAATATCAATCCAAATAAAGCAGCTATCATACTTATATTTGAACATGAGCACAGGATCTTCCACAAGTTTTTGGATATATGAATTTGACCCTCCAACAATAATCGGAACACGTTGAGTCTTCAGTTTTTTTTCTATAGTGATGATAGCTTGCAAACAAAAATCTTCAGCTGTGAAGTCTGAATCTTGTTCAATTTCACCTAAGAAAATGTGATCAAATTAATTTTCTCAGAATTGAAAGAAATAATTTTTGAATAGTAAAGTATATTTTTCACTAGAATCTATAATTACTACTATAAAATTATCTAGGTAGTCATTTGATAGAAGTATTCTTTAGAATAAACATATATACCTAACAAATAGTGTCATACACCTTGTCTTTCAGTGTGAGAGATCTTGTTTGTAATAATTTCAAGTCCCTTGTAAACTTGCATTTTATCCGAGTTGATTATTTCTCCTCGAAAATGGGTGGCAAGGTCAACAGAAACACGCGATTTTCCCGTTCCTATGGCCCCCATTATGAATATCACTTTCTTCTTGAACTCTTCATTGTTGATGAAAGTATTCATAATCCACACAAAAAATAGTTTATAATAGTGAATTCATAAAGTCTGACATTAAAAATGTTGTAAATATAAAGCCAGTAAGTATAAACCTTGCTTGACTTGGAATATACTATCTAGAAATACAAAATTTTCTTGATGGTGGATATGAAAAAAATAATTACATTCAGCTTTTATAGTAAAATATTTTTGTGGAGTTATTAATTGATATACCAATTTCATAATCAATGATATATTTTAGGATAAGAATGACTTTTAAAAGTTTATAGATATGTCAACTTGAATTTTGGTAATTATTATTAAATATATTTTAGGATAAAGTTATGAGTGTATGTTGCTAATAGACCACATATAGCTGGGCTTTTATAGTAAAAATGTGATTTTTTATAGACTTATTAATTAGTAAACAAAATTAAATATATATAAATTCATATCTTTTAGAATACGAAAAATTCATTAAAAAATTTGGAGATATGTCACCTTAAATTTTGGCGATTAAGCTTAATTTATTTTAGGATGACGTTTCTAGATGTATATTGTTATGAGATCACAAGTAGTTACATAAGGATTGTACAAAGAACTCAATAATATATCTAACGGAATATATTCAAGTGATAATGTGTCAAATCTTACACTATTCAACAACACATCATAGGTGTTAAGTCTAATTACATAAGAGGAAAGTGAACAATTATCGATAACTATTTCAATTACGAGTATTTATATTAACTTGTTCACCATATAGTAATAGATAAGACTTTATTAAATCAAGCTTCAATCACTGTGATAGAATTAGGTAGAATATATTCATTACCAATAGATTACAAATTTAATATTTTATCTTCTTTGTCTATGTAATATTTTTAAGTATTGAGTTAATAATTTTATTCTTCAAAATCCTTTTATGGTGGAATCTTCCCGAACATTTATGGTGATTTAATATTTTATCACTCTATTATCTTGACATTATGAGTGATCTCATGTAATTGTGTATGTATGTATTTGTATTAATATATATTAATTATAGAAGACTTGGACTTGGACTTAGGGCTTGGGCTTCGATAGAAACTTGTAATAAATATTTTATCGAAAGATAAGAATCTTTTTACAGACAAGAGTAACATATATAGAAATAAGGGTCATATCAGACATATTTATTTGTAATGTGATAAAAACTGCACAAAATAGGTCAAAAATAAAAGACACCAAAACTTAAGATGGCGATAATTACAGTTTATGTACACTCAATAATAATATTGTGATGATCATTTTTGAGAAATATCTTCACAATACCTAGGCATTTTTGCAAAACACTATTCATCCATGCTTCGTCAAGGTCTTCTTCTCTATCTTCTTTGAAAACGTCCGTACCAATAATATGATGCACTGACCACATTTTCTCTATTATTAATTGCTGAATCTTGTAAAGTTGGTTACAAATTAACATACGAGTATTACACTTGATACTTGAAATTGAAGCTTGAAGAATCATCTTCTTTGATTCATCATCTCCGTCTATATTTGTTTCCTCCTTAAATATATGTCCATTTTAGGGACACCGATGTACCGTCGGATTCTTTTTGTGTAATTTGCATCTAGAATGAACATTTGTCGCACCTCATCCACTAGCCCTGCATGCAACACAAATTTAAAGAAGAGTTTTATTTATTAGAACATATATTTGATAACCAAAAGTATTATTAAGAAAATTATATAAGAAAGTTTTTAGATATTTGCATGATAGTATATCTTGATTGATACACAAAATAATTATAAAAAAAAATTACCTGCTTTGTGTAACAACCTGTTTAGTCGGTTCGAGCAGTAAAATTATTTTTGATAAAAACTGACTGGGTCGACGGACCACGCGACGGACTGTCATGGACTCCGTCGTCCCATACTTGTGTAATTTCTTCTGGTGCCCTATTCATTCCCTCGACGACAAGTAGGACGAACCGTCATAGGCACGATGTTCCGTCGAGGGTCTTCGTTCCACAACACTTCAACTCTGGAATCTGGGTACTGGGATCGACTCTCTGAACTTTACGACGGACCTGCAGCACGGACCATCGTAGATACGACAGACCGTCACAAGCTACGTAACCCCGACTTGGTCAGACTTCCGCTAAAATTTTTAAATGGGTGTTTTGGACTATTCATAAGTATCATTACAAAATTAGTGGGGTAATTTTTATAATTGAGTTAGTTGGGGGTTAAAGAAGATAACTTTAAAATAAATAGTGGGTTACTTTTATCATCTATTATAATTGATTATATGATAATTAGGGTAAAAAGAATGTGTAAAAGAAAAATAAAAAGAGGAGAAGGGCGTGAACGAACGAGGGGAGCGAGCGACTTAGACTTCAGATTGAAAAGGTTCATAGGCATTGAGGAAAGCAAAGGCATTGGGGAGGTAGCTTGCTTGATTTCGATACTTCGGTGGAGGTAGGTTATGGTTTATTTCTATGTAATAGATAAACTCTAAATAGCAATTAATATGTATTGAATAATATTGTAAAGTCTCCTATGTACCTGATTGTGTGGTTTGTGGTTGGCCTAAAGTTATGAGAATGTTGAATTTCTAGTCTTAAATCTTCTCTATTAAAAATGACGCCTTGAATAAAGAAGGCTTGATGAAATAAAAATGATGAGATAATTGGATCAGAGTGTCACGTTCCGACACGGTATTATTGGATCGGAGTGTCACATTCCGACACGGTATCATGAGTTCGGAGTGTCACGTTCCGACATGATATATGGGATTTGTGTGTCATGTTCCGGCACAGTAAAATTAAAGGAAAGGAATCGGGAATTAACTTAATATATTCAAACTCAAGGAACCTATTTCACAAATGAGTATGGTGTGGAGGCATGAGTCCTCATTGGTGTGCTTGATGTTGTGATTGATGGTGTACCTAATATGGTGTTGTTGTCAATGTTTCATGTGTTTGTTGCTTGCCACCTGTTAAGTATTGTAGTTGATTTTATACTATTGTTTAATATATACTGATTTCTATTTTGAGTTAGCCGATGATACCTACTCAGTACGTGTTCCTTGTACTGACCCCTACTTGTATTTTCTTCTTGTTGTTTTGTGGAGTGCAGCAAGTGCACCATCGACTTCGACTCGCCCTCAACTCTAGTCAGTCTCCCGCACATTAGATTTCAGGGTGAGCTATTATTCCTAGCTCGGACTGGATTCTCTCCCTCATGTCTTGATGTCTTCGAAGTTCGGACATGGACCATCCTTTTACTTATTTTATCTTATTAAATACTCTTAGACTTGGCAATTTGAGGATAGATGTTCTTGATGTGATGACTTCCAGATTTTGGGAATAATAAGTATTAAACTTTAAAAGTTTATTTAATTGATTACGTTAATATGTTTTGGATCTTCCGCATTATTTTTACTAGTCATAATTGATATAGTGGTAAATGTTGGGGTTTAGATTTGTTTGTTCGCTCACCTAGGAGGATAAGTGTGGGTGCCACTCGCGGCTCGTTTTGGGTCGTGACAAATTTGGTATCGGAGCGTTAGGTTCGTTGGTCTCATCACACAAGAACGAGTCTAGTAGAGTCTTGAGGAACGGTAGGGGGACGCCCTTACTTTTCTTTGTGAGGCTATAGGACTTTAGGAAAACTCCATTCTTTAATTCTTTCCTGCTATTACTTGGATCCAATTGGTATCTAGGTGATACAAATTGGTATCTGACATCATCACTCTATTTCGCAGATGGTTAGAACTAGAGCAACAACTGTGCCAACACCAACACCGGCAACACAGGGTGCGTCTGAGCCAACCATTGGGGCTGTAACTCGAGGATGAACAGTGGCAAGAGGCCGTGATAGAGGTCGCAGGAGGACGCCCACTAGAGGTAGAGGACAGACACCTGGTCCAGCTAGTAATAGTGCAGTGACTCCTCTACCGACTGATGAGGTAGTGAGAGAGGGTGGAGAAGGGGAAAACAAGTGGGTTCAAGATGAGGAATTACCACCCCAGCCTACCCCAGAGATGATTAATCAGGTTCTTACTTACCTTAGCGGGTTATCAGATCAGGGCCAGACACCTCCAGTGTTTTCTGCACCAGCACCTCAGGTTGAGGGAGTAAAACATGCAGCTGTTGTGGCTCTCCCGCATGGATGCCTCATTGGAAGTAGGCACGTTTCCTCGATTGACTACAGGTTCTATAATGACGAGTGATCAGCATGAACTTTTCACTAAATTCTTAAATTTGAAACCTCCAGTCTTCAAGGGTGCTGAATCTGAAGATGCCTACGATTTTCTAGTTGATTGTCATGAGCTGCTACATAAGATGGACATAGTAGAACGATTTGGTGTTGAGTTTGTGATGTATCAGTTTTAGGGGAATGCCAAAATATGGTGGCGGTCGTATGTAAAGTGTCAACCAGCACAGGCACCACCTATGACTTGGGCATCATTCTCTAGCTTATTTATGGAGAAGTATATACCCCGGACTTTGAGGGACAAGAGGAGAGATGAGTTCCTGAGCCTAGAGCAAGGCAGGATGTCTGCTGCTGCTTATGAGGCTAAATTCGTGCACTATCCAGGTATGCCACACAGCTTTGCTTCAGTCCACAAGAGCGGATTCGCTGTTTTGCGAAAGGATTGAGGCCAGATTTGTAGATCCCAGTCTTATAGGTAGCTGCTGCAGCAAAATCCTTTCAGAAAGTGGTTGATTTTGTGATAGAGGTGGAGGGGGTGAATCCCGACGACTTCACCATGGCGTCGACATCTAAGAAGTTCCGTAAGGGAGGTGAGTTTACTGGTTCTTACTCCAGAGAGCAGAGTTCAGGAGGTTACCAACCCATCCTATTCAATCTTCACTGCAAGTTTTAGCTGTGGGTCCATCGCAGCTCAGTCAACCTTTTTCTGAGTTTGGAGGTTAGCCCCAGACTTCGTCATTTTCACAGAGACCTATGCTTGACTCCAGGAA